CAGTGTGGTTTACATGTAATCTAATTGAGAGACCAGTGTCCTTAATTGTAATGTTCCTCCCCCTACTCCTCTATTGGCTCTGACTCTTTAAATCAATTTTAGGTTTTTATATAGCAGTAATCACTGCAACTTGATAAAGGACCATACCACCTAACCCGTTTGGGGAATGCTAAGGTTTGACCAAGCCCAAGCCTGTGGGAAAAACAGGATACGAGATTCATATAATTAAAGACTGTGTCGTGATGCTTAACGGATCTGAATTCAAACTGTTCAGAGAACCTGAATTCTGAGTTTCACAATCCCTCAAGTACTTGACTTTGAAACTGTCACATTCTTTCAGTGTAGTATTCTGGACACAACACCTAAAAACAACATGAAAATTAAAGTACTCAATCCAAACACATTTTACAAACTTCGTTAATTTTTTATAACTATTTAAAGTACAAACAAACCCCATAATAAGTTTGCTTTTGAGTGACCTATTGAAAGACTACATAATTATCTGTGCTCAATTATTACAACGATCAAGACACTGAAGTTAACCCAGCTCCACTTTCAAGTAAGATCGATCTGCAAAAGGATTGTTAGAGAACCCAGGCTATTTGAAAGGAAGTTTTCCAACTACACAGGCTGTAACTGTCCAGAGAATAACTGGGAATAAAAATTTGAGCAACATCTTAGATCGGAGTCAGAGGTAAAACGAATTTAAGTTTAATCTATATTTTACATGTTGCATGCTTCAATAATCAAACAATATCCAGGTTGTTTAACAATTTAATATGAAATTACATCCCTTGTTTATCTGTAAACCACAGAACCTTTTAAAATGTTAGCTGAGATTAGAAAATAGAAATAAAGAAAGGGTAAAGTTAGAAGATAATTTTTTTTATGGGTTACCAGCGTAATTTAAATTGCCTACCTGGGCGAGCAAACATATATGCGACATACAGAAATGAAATTTAAACAACAAAGTTGATGAGGAATGAGTTGAGGGTGTTTTCAGGTACAGCTTACAAGATACTTGCTTAAGATAGAAGCTTCAGCTGTGACATCGGTTGTTGAAACACTTATGGAAACCAACTTTATCATGATGACACTAAATGTGGAAACAAGGATGCAGAGGAAAGATGCTCCAGAATGAGCTTGTAAAAGCCCATTATTTTCTTTCTAGATCTGTTTCTTATACTGCACTCATCACTGTGGTATCTTGAGTGCTTTCCAGTAGTGCATTAAGCAACACGACAAACATCTGTCACATGTTTGTTCTTTCACCCTCTCCCCAGAGGGACAAGTGTGTGCAGTGGAGTGTCTTGTTTTAATTTTTTTAATTATTATAAATACGCATGCACGTAACACATTATTAAACATTCGTGCTAGAGAGGAAAGGTCAGACAAATTTATCTTACTCTTAGGATTAAAGCTGGTAAACTCTGATGTTCCTGTAGGAGTTTCTATCACACCCGCACCCCAGATTGCCAAGTCTTTAGATACCAAATCAGTCTGGGCATGGGTGTCCGCAGTAGGCAGGAACCAAAAGTACGGATCCCCACTACCCTCATTTACTGTTCACACTTAAGTCCAGGGATTCTGTCAAGAAAGTTCAAATAGAATGAGATAGTAGGATTTAAGGAAAAACACGTGCTTTCCATAATCGCGATCTCATCCCAGTGTTACTGCAATTGATACAGACTGAAAGCAGGAATTGATGCAGCTTCCAGATCAGTGTCACAGAATCAGAGGGCACTGTGCAAGTTACGATAAACAAGCTAGGAATCTAATGGATTGGAAAAGTCTGATTTGAACTGGAAAAGGAAGTTCTTAGAATAACGGAATGAAGACATAGGAGTTACTGGTTTCCATACAGAGGGGACATAACTGGGAAAACAATCTGGAAGCTTCAGATCAGAGTTCAGTCAGACCCTGAACGATTGCAGATAGACAGTCTACCTGTTCAAGGACAATGAACACATAAGTGGGAATCCCAGATCAATATTGGCACCACCAGTGTAAGATTATGCTATTTCATAAGGGGGGAGAGAAGCACGTGCATTGGTAGGTAGCTACCTGTACCACCTCAGAAAACAATGTAGCTGATCTGCCTCATGCCAAGCAGACCTCCAGCATCAATGTTCCTTCCTTCCTATGACTTCCCCTGTCTATTGCTCCAGTAACTCTCAGGACAATTAGAAAAAATAAAACTGTTTCTCTAATGGAGGATGATTCAGGTCACATTGACTGCCAAGAAGCTGAGGACTTCGCTTTGGGCTTCACTCAAAGGCATAGATGCAGGGATCCATGCAGCAGCATCACATTGCAAAATCCACCAGTGCTTCTTTCTGGGCTGGGCTGCTTCTGGTATCACACCACTACAATTCACATTTGGCCCCGCTTTCAGCACTGAAATCTTCCAGTCACTCCCTCACCCTTCTATCAGTCAGAACAGTAGACATATCTGTAGTTACTGCAATAGTAGAGATTTCAGAACTGAATGTTCCAGCACTGAAACCTTTCTAGCTGCCTTTTGTTCTCCTCCCGCAATATTTTCCTGAAAGCACTTAAACACGATCAGCCTTCCTCTAACATTACTGATGTCTTTGCATGTATGCAAGCAGAACTGCTCCAAGCATGGCAACCTACTGCCCTTCCCCAGTGAAGGCTACAGGCTGCTCTCCTGTCCACCTTCACTTTCCACCATAGACAATTCAGTAAAGCCCACAAAAAAGAGGATTGGAGTTTTCAAATAACTCCCATCAATACTTCATTCTGTGTATCTGTTTCCCTAGCTTGCCTAGGGACGCATCTCAACAGAAGATCCAGAAAAACCAGCCAAAATGGCAAAAAGTACCATGACTATGCAGATTAACAACACTGATAAAGCTCTTCTGAAGTCCACCAAGAACATGCCACATACCAATATGCATTTTCATAGCATGTCAAAGGCAGATGGGACATACAGTCACAGCTAATATGCAACCCAGGTCAGGATCCTAACTTGAGTAAGAAGCTTAGGAGAGCTCTAAAGGTTTCCTTGAAACAAGTCTCAAGAAAAGGTTGTTCTTATAAACACAGATCTTTGTGGCCATAACATCTAAGCCTCTGAGAATTTCCAAATGAGGCAGCAGCTAGCAGTCAAACAGTACTTTTGAATAACTTTTTTTTCAAACTGAACTTACCAATGAAAGTATCACAGACCTTGAGCACATAAGTCAGTCTGGTTTGCTTCATTTTAGCTGGTGTAGCTTATTATTCCATAGAAATTAAGCTAAACAGAAATCAAGCCATGGATGCAAATGGCAACACAAGGACTTAATGCATTTTAACTAATCCATCTTAAAAGGTAATGCACGTTAAGTTCACTCATATATGAAGTTCCTAAAGATCAAATAAACTTTATTCCAGTACTCTGCAACAAAAGGGATTTGAACAGTATGAGTATTATAGCCATTTTATTTTCAACTTTCGTAGAAACGGGAGTACACGCACAGCCCAGTGAAGCCTCTGCAAAGAGTTGCATTGAACTCCACCGTGTTTTGGCTCAAGCATTTAATGATGTGTCAGGCTGGTATGAGGCAGCCAGCTATAGTCCCTGAAAGTCTTTACACCTGAGAATGTGCTTTTCAGCTGTCAGTACAGAACAATGCGGTCAGCAAGCCCTGCATCAACACAGCAGCTTTAGGACTGATATTAGGCAGAAATGCAAAGAGCAGGCTAACATAAAAGGACTTTATTTTTCCTGTCAGATAAAGAGAGGATATATGCAAAATATTTGGACATTTTGGGAAAGAGCAAACACTGAGAATTAATTCGAACTGTTGATGGTTTATTTTTTATTGAATCTTGTGGTCAAAATTGTTTTCATTTGCTATGAGAAAGAATCCATCATTTTTTCCAAAGCACCACCCAGAATCTGCCACTGGTGATGTTCTAACATCCCCAGTGCCTATACAAATAGAGAGGTCAGCTGAGATTTGTAAACTAGAGATCATAAGTTTTAAGGAATTTGTTTATTCAGCCTAGAGTCTCCAAATTGTGTACAATGCCAAAATTTAGAAGTCCTTTCACTGTACTGTGTCAGGTTACAACAAAAAGCTCTCCAAACATTTGGGATGTTCAGATGAGAAAGCAAATTGTAATTCCATTTTAAGCAACCTATTTGTCAGCACATGCAGTTTAATTATAATTAAGTACCTCCCGGAGTTATAATGAATAGGCAAAATCAAAATGTTGGGTTTATGCTTGTATAAACCTGCATTTAGTGTGAACTAAAAGCTGCCTGAATTACACTGAAAAGTATCAGTCTAGTATTTGCATTTTTAGCTGTACTGTTCAAACACAAACATACATAAACTCTTTCCAAAGACTTTCACATATTGACTGAATTAGGGGAATTTTCATGGGAATGACGAGAGGCAGATCTCTTCCTGATGAGAAGGCCACCACGTACCAAGTTCCAAGTCCCTGTCCAAAGTATGGAGCACGGGAACCGTGCAAAAGTGATCACCAGAGTCTTTTTAGTATTAGCAAAAGAACATATTTCTAACCCGTCTCACTCTTGAGAAAGTGCTGAGCCACATTTGCTGAAGTTTTCCAGAGTAATTCAGCATGCAACAAACAACCAGCATGGGAAAAAAAAAACCACCAGAGTAAAGCAGTCAAGTGATGGAAATACGATAAAGTTGCAAGAAGCTTACAGGAATTTTTATAGTTCTAAATACAAAATATTAATGATATTTGATAAATAAAAATATCTGATTGTTTATAATAACCATATATCTGAAAATATTTCCAAATGCAGTATTATCAGAAATAAAAGCTGTTAGAAATCGGATAACATTTTATGTCCTGCAAATGGAATAAGCATTGAGATGACATCTTTGGAGTACATTTGAACTTTGTTGCCTTTGCTTATAGGTAGCTCAAAGATAGGTAAAGCATTTCAACAGGCTACATATTTCAAGTAAGAACTTATGACTAATACTACTTTTGCTTTTTTTATAAAGATATAGATGAATGTGCAACTGGAACCCATAACTGTAGATCTGACCAAGTATGTGTCAATTTAAGAGGGTCCTTCAGCTGCCAGTGTCCTCCAGGCTATCAGAAACGAGGGGACCAATGTGTTGGTAAGTGTTGCTCTAGACTACATTATTTTTGTTCGTTATCTACAGTCGCAAACTTAATATTGATTATAAAGTATATAGATATGTGTACTGCAAAATAGCTATATAACTTTGAAATACAATGAAATAACCACTTTATCACAATAATTAATCACTAAACCATAGCATTAGAAACTATTTTAAGTATAATCAACACTTGGAGTTGAACTTCACAAGATTAATTTTCCTAATAGTTACCATTGTGTTTATTGTTTGTATTGGGGTATTGCCTAATGTCCCAGATACAGTCATAAGTCTACTACAGCGGCAAACCAGAGCATGTCTTTCCACTGACCTCAGCAAGACTTGACTCCAGATCTGTAGGACAAAGCACTACCTTCACACAGGCCTAATCCCTGCTCCACAGAGCCCCCTTGCACAGTCTGTTTCAGTACTCATTTTACGAGTATAAATGAGAGAGATGGAAACTCTGAATGCAGGTATATATTTGCAACTTATAAACCACTAAGCTTTATTCTTTGTGCCAAAATAAACTATCAGCACCCTTGGGACCTATACAAGCATAGCATTAAATTAAATCCAAGTGCAGTGTAAAGACTGCATCTTTCCTATTCCATCCTCATTTGGGGATATTATGCAAAAGTGCCATTACTCTGTTCCTGCAGTTCTTCAGCCTTTATTTAACACCTCTTTAATCGTGATTTCAACGGATGAATTGCTTTTATAGGCACTCCGGCCTTAAGCCTTAGGTTTGTCAGAGATAATAAAAACAACTATGAAATAAGAGAATCAAATATATACATCATGAGGTGATTCAAGACCACCTCTTATATGAGACAACACTAGTTTTATGCAGCCTAGGAGAAAAGCGTTTTGGTTTGGCTTGGGTTATGTTTTGTCCTCAGAACAGGAACAACAGCACTTCAGGTTTTCCTCTTTTTCTATGTGTTAGGGATCCTGCATTTGAAAGTGTTTAAGAACTTTTTTTTATTTTAAATCTCTTTCAAAGAGCCTTGCAAAGGTAGTCACTGCCTAACAAGAGCTTAAGGAAGGAAACTGAGGAAGTTTCAGTATACATCTAGGCTAACTTAAAATGCTGGGCATGGCTCACTCTTTAGGGTTCTGAGCCAAGGGCTGTAGAAAGCAACCCAAAAAGTCTTATCTCTTTCCCCAAAGATGAGGATCAGGCCTTGAACTGACAAATTGATATAAACAGATGTATCTGATTTTTCTCAGTTCTTGGTGCAATAGGATGAGTTGTTTAGAATGCAGGTAGAGGAATAGTTTTGACAGGTCATTGATATATATTTTGTTTTAATTATCTGGGTTTTATCTAGATTTTTCAGAGCAGGTAAAGTATATTACTGCTATGCAATAGCACTTTTAATGTCAAGACCTATGGTACTACCTGAAAGTCTCGCAGGACACATTACAGTGCTCAAAAGAAAAAAGCAGAATGATACACCCTTATATCTACATGTGAATACATTTATCCATCTAAATCTATACATGAAGATGTCTGGAAAGTGAAATTTCCCTTCTCCTATTTAGGTCAAAACCAAGAATAACACCTGTGTTACATATTATACACTGACCTAAATTATAAGTACATCCCTACACTTAGTACTGTCAGCATTTCAGAATAAAGCCTGTCTTTGGGGATTTTATAACAACTTAGCCAGAAAATGTTCTTGGGGCCAGATCTTGATAGAGGTTCTCCATATGGGAGGAAATGTTTCTCAAATTTGAAAGAAATTTTTCCAGACTATTTTGGCTTCAAGGTAGAGGGAGAAAAGGACTCATTTCTAACAATTGATTGATTTTAATCTGAATTCAGTAATCATTTCTGTGTTTTTGAGATTTTTTTTTTTAAATTTGCTCGTTCACATACCACAAAATTAGTCTTTTCTGAGATGTGGGACTGCAGATAGAATGAATTGTTTTCCAGCATTACTTCAAACAGAAGATTTGGCTGAATTTATCACATAATGCTTAGCCCTCAGATCTGCATAGACCTGATGTGCTGAATCCTGCAAGGAAAACTCCCACTGAATTACAGTCAGATCCCAGAAGCATTTCTGTGCATAAAAGCAGTGCCTAAGCAGCAAAGCATCGCTCCTATGTCTATACAGGCTAATCAAATCTTTAAACAGCAATTTGTAAGAGCTTAGTCCTGTAAAAGTCAAGGATGGAAGAGATCTACTGTGCCTCCTAATTTATTCCATTTCTACTTCCAAATTTCTCTCTCCAACAAAAGAGTTACAGCGACAATCGCTACTGTATGGATAGCCAGGAATTTTCCACCATAAGCCTTTTCATTCAGAACCATCCAAAACACTCCACCGCTAAGTTTAGCCCCAAAGAGTGACCAAATTTGACAAAGAAAGGGTTAACTCCTAAAGATTATTTTTTCACTTGATATTAAAACAAACACTTTCCTCATTATAAAAAAAAGTCTTGGCCTCTTTTTAAACACATCTATGGTGGAAACAGCTGGAGGTAGGAAACTCAAGATCTGGCATGGATACGGGAAGTGCCTTTGTTCCAGTGAAAACTGGTCTTATTTGTCTGAGCACTGAGCCTTTGAAATCTCACATTGTGTACATGTACAGAACACGGCATGGATTTCTTCACCAAGCTCAAGCAGGCCACAACTAAAGCCGGCTGCTGCACATACATGCGCGATCAGCATTATGGCATATTAAAAAAAAAAAATGTTTTTCAGACAAAACCAGAGGGAGTATCTCTTCCAGAATGCAAGGAAACCTTTTAAAATGCAGAGAGGTAAAAGAATGGGCTGTTGCATATTTTGTATGGTTCGCAGGTGAAAACCCTGCTCCAATGCACATTAGGAATGCTGAAACTTGGAAAGGCAGCCTGCTCCACCTCAAAACCAGGGCTAATCTGCAAAGAGAGCCCATGGAAAGTTACTACTGCAGCAGCACCAGCTTCTGCCAGCCTGATGGCCTTCCGCAGCACCAGGGAGTGCAACCAGAAGGTGCTAGTGCTGTTGTATGGAAAGGTGTGCAGGAGAGGCAGGGAGGGGAACGGGAGCAACAGCAGCCCCTCGGGGGAGCAAGCCAGTTTCTGGGGGATCCCTGCAGAAGCAGAGCCACCTGTTTCATTTTCAGGCCCATTAGTCTTCTATCCTTGCCATTCCCCTGTACTTGCACAGAAAATTTGGACTCTAATGGAGCTGAAAAGATGTAGTACATGCTAAGAGAGCTGCGTGTAAATTTTCAGAAAAACAAGAGCTACAAGCCACATGCACTGTGTTGGTCGGCAATATGTCGCATCATGAGAAATCTTGGTTGAAAAGCAGAACAAAACATTCTGGGTTTTACCTACACAAAATGAGAAAAGACAAAGCAGTACTGTAGAACTGAATCAAAAATAAAGTTGGAATGTGTATTGATCTCAGTGGCTGGAAGACAATCAGCATAAAACAGATTTTTACTAAAGTTACTTAGAAAGAGTATAGTAGCATCCCTATTAATATCCATAGAAGCTGTACCTAACTCACAAGCTTTTTCTCCTCCTGCTTTTAATCAAGTGCAATTAACTTTACAGTTTCCTTGGGCACAAGACAGCGAGAGTGAACTGCTGTGATTCCCTTTGAACTAATTTCTCTTTTTTGGTAACTCAGACATCGACGAATGCACCCTGCCTCCTTATTGCCACCACCGATGCGTGAACACTCCTGGTTCCTATTATTGCCAGTGCAATGCTGGTTTCCAGTTAGCATCTAACAACCACACCTGTGTAGGTAAGAACTTCTCTGCACATACTTACACATGAGCTCACTCAGTAGAGACACAAATACTGACACATGACTTGCCACGGTTGAAATTTAAGTATCTTCATCCCAACTTAAAGGAAATTAATACCAACCAGTAAGACATACCAGTTGCTGTATTGAGAGGCTCTCTTGCAAATGACCTGAGGAGTAAAGGAGGGTTAGAGAGAAAATGGAAGCCTTATTTGAAAACCTGTTATTTTGTTGGTGTAGCAGGTTCTGAGGAGCATCTAGTTTGGCAGCTGGAATCCTGGAAGTTTATATGCATTATTTAATCTTAGATTTAATTATTCTTCCAGTTCTGGTGGATGGCTTTGCATTGTCATTGGCTTTCATGATATTATTCCCAGTTCACGCAACACAAAGGCTGGAACTGGAAACCAGGGGAACCTGGTTTCTGCAGTTCAGTGTAATTATCCTCAGCATGTAATAAACATAGTGAAGAAAGAAAGCATCTGTGTCGCATTTGAATATCTAGAAAATGTTAAAAAAGAAAACGAGTATCACTAAGGAAGAGCAAACCTTTAGAAGTGATCCTCCCTTTAGAAATAAAGTTTTACTGCTTCACTTACTATTTTAAGACTGCTGTCAAGTTTGAAGCCGTAAGTTCTGCTTTCTAGAAGAATTAGAGTCATAATAAAAAGGTAACTATGCTGAAGTGCAGAGAGAATGACCATAAAAAAAATTAAGATATTGGTGATGGAGATAGTTCTTGATGACTATAATTTATATATACATAAAATCTATATTATATACATATTTTTATATATATATAAAATCAGTCTGGGTTTTCCAGCTTCTAGGATTACTTCCAAGTGTTGCCATATCTTATCAAGTACCCTGGCACACTGCATGGCACTAAAGTGAGAGGGGAATTTGTTTTTCACCAAATGATAGGATAAAAAATCCACATGTGGACACAGCATAACCACGTGACAAGTTGTTACTTATTTGACCCTTTCCACAGCTCCAATGCAAGGTGTATTCTTTCAGTTACACTCACAAATCCATGCCAGGTCCAAGTCTGCTAGGTGCTTCACCAAAACACCCCTGCGCTGACTTGCTGGCCTCCCAGCATAATAAGGCATACTCCCACCAGGAGAGGTAAGAGTAAATCTGAAGAAGAAAATTTGTAAATGAATGGTTGCTGCATCAAGACAGACTTTCACATCTGCAACAGTCATCTGGCAGAAGGGATGCTTGACAGCTGTACCGATCTCATTTGTGTTACAACTTTTGCATATATTGAAAGTGGGTCAATATTTCTTGGAAGGAAAACAAACAGAATTGTGGCTTTGGCGAGCTTGTTATTCCTTCTGGTAGCATTGTCATGATGTACATTCTTTGCACTGTTGCCATAAATTAACTAAAAGGAGGAGGAAAACACTTTGTAATCCATTTTCCCCTATTATCATTCATTTTCAGGACTGGGAGGTTCATCATATAGAGAATTAATATCCTCCTCATTGGTTTAGTTTTTGTGAATGCCTCATCTTAGTCGTCTTTGTCAGTTTTTGTCTCCGTAAATGACGGAGTGTTGCTGACATTTATAAGCATTTGCAAAAGCCATGAACTCAAGATTTTTTTTCAAATGCAGCTTGCTACCAATGGTTCTGATAAACACAAATACGAATGGAAAACATGCAGGGGAGGAATACAAGGGAAAGTACATGAAAATCTACAAAGTGAAGACAGAGGAGCAGCAGTTAGTCAACAGCCTATGAAAAACAAGTGTTATAGATTCCAGAGGTGATTACAGTTATATAAACTTCCCATTAAAAATTGCTTCTCTTCTCATACCACAGTGTTCTCGCACATGTTCTTAGGATGGGCACACTATGGAAAAAATCTAGCACAGAAACATACCTTTCCCCAGTATGGTCTAGGCCTTAGAGCATTGCAAAACTCTACTGGCCTCAAAGGTTCATGTTATAATTGTAATGGAATTTAAAAGAACAAATTTTAAGAGTAATAAATAGCTCAAATAAATCTTAACCACTGCATGCTGAGAGGTCTTATCAGTATGTGTTCCTTATATCAATTATTCATAGAGACTTGGCATTTCATACCTGAAAAGAGACACTGGAATGCAGAGTTTAATAGCCACACTAAACATTTTTGGAAGAATTCATCACACATTAGAATAACTCTCATTCCTGGAAAAATACTCTTTTTCTACATGGAATGTACAGCATAGATCGACATTGTTCCAGTGACTGCAGATCTATATTGATACAGTCAACTGAGCTTCTGCTAAGCAATAGACCCAGACTAAGGACTAAGCCACTTAATCAACTTAATTACCAGCTACACAAGATAAAGATCTGTAATTTTTCCTTTCAGACATAAACGAATGTGATGCCAATAACCCATGTGCCCAACAGTGTTACAATATACTGGGTTCCTTCATCTGTCAGTGTAATCCAGGATTTGAGTTAAGCAGTGATAGAATCAACTGTGAAGGTAAGCAGGTTTTTTTTTTGTCTTGGAAGAGTGATTTTTTTTTTTTTTAAATTATTTTCCCAGAAGTCTTTCTGTGAACTAAAGGATATAATTCAAGTGGAGCTACACTGCGGGTACAGTTTATAGCCAAAAGCTCCAAGACATTTATTTTTTCCATTGCAAATGTGGTTGCTAATACACACCTTAGCAGCTGCAGCTGCATTCAGGTACATGTAGATACGGGTATCTCCCTAATGGTAAGTGCAAAACAGGACAGACATTACTACATTTCGAATCACAGCTGGGAAGAATAAGGCTTCTGAATACTTATTTCACAAACTCACTGGAATTGTGTGTGGTCTAATGCTGATGACCATTAAATGAATCGGAAAGGAATGCAAACCAAAAACAAGTGCAAGTTTGTGTGTTGTTAGGCTCCTCTGAAAATAAAACCTCAAATTCTTGATTTTTAAGGAAGCGACAATTGTGCTTTTAAGCCTGTGTATACAAACAGCATGTCTCCTGATGATTATACAATCAACACTATTTCCTCTGCCAGAGTCTCCACAGGGGTCCTCTAATCTCCTTTTGGACACATGATGATCTCACCCTTAAAGCCCATATCCTTTCTACCAGTCTTTGAGCCAAAGAGGTCTTTTTGGTTTACCACTGCCCTCCTAAACAAGCCAGCAGAGCTATTACAGATGCTCTCTCTCCAAGCTTCTTAAGTTAATCCTACTTGCAAGTGAACAGAACAGGGAGCAGCAAGTATGCAGCCTCCAAGGAAAACCCTGACAAATTCAAGGACCGGGCTCAAGACTCTGAGGTAGTAGGAGGGAGTTATGCTGTTTTCCAAGCCATCCCCTAGTTTTGACATGTTTAGTTTAAATTCTGGTTAATGACATAGTGTTACATTCTGTTTTGCATTACACTTCTCTAGCAAGGGACTGATAGTTACAGAAAGATTAAAAAAAGCAAGAGAATGGTACACACTGGATGTTATTTGAAGACAAAAAATAGGCCTTGCCCTCTTTCCCAAATTGCTACTCCATTAGGATAGGGCACAAAAACAAAGGCAGTATTTTTGCCTTACTAAACTAATCACATCTGTAGGTTTTTTTTGTGAAAGTAATCACATTTTGGAATACTAAAAGTATAAATTCTTTCAAGAATTCTTTTCCCAAACCTGTTCTGAAGTCTAGTTTAGCTTTTGCTTCCTCAAATCCAAAATTCTCATTTTGGAAGATTATTGATAAACCACAAGTAGAGCTAGCCTTGCAACTTTGAGGCATTAAGCAGTACATTTCAGTTTTCTGACAACTTACTCTTTTTAGACAGAATTATTTTTTTTTTCCTGCTAGAACTAGCATTTAGCTATAATAACTTAGTGTTCTGTAGCAAGGTAGATGTTAAAATAACTAAGTTCTTTTGCTCTCTGCAGACACCGATGAATGCAGAACCTCAAGTTATATGTGTCAGTATCAGTGTGTGAATGAACCAGGAAAATTCTCATGTGTCTGCCCTGAAGGATACCAGGTAGTAGGAGGCAGAACATGTCACGGTAAGTACCCTCATCTTAAGCAGTCTCAAAACTTCATTAACACCACCATTTCAGGCAAGACTAGGAATGCTTGCTATTTAAGTGTTTATATTTCATGACAGGATTACCATTATGTTCGCAAATGATAGGTTGTAAAGCATTTCATGATTAATTGCATCTCTTATTAATTCATATTTGAATCCTTCAGCTCAAACTTTTAAGTCCTTTAGATTCCTAGGACAAAATTTCAGTTTTTGCCACCTTCAGGTAAAACTTGTCTTGGATATCTAGGCAGTGAGTCTAAGTTTGAGATAAACATCTCAGAAAGTCAGGCCATTTTTTTGCAGGCACTAAACATGGCTTTCTATCATGTTTCATTTATATAGAGGTTCCTAAATCCAGCCACAGCAGAAATGAAAGATATGTTTCCTCTGATAACAGGGAAAAAAAAAAAGCAAGACTGAGCAGCTTAAATAATTTTTTGTTTAGAAATTAAGCATTCTGGTCAGGTGCCACCAAATGCCAGAGTTTTAAAGTTTGTGGTTTCTTCCTCACTGGTGGTAAATGTTTCTGCATCTTATTAGAGAATATTGCAAAGCAACATCTTAAGTGCCAGAACCATTGCTTATGTAATCCAGAAGCTGATTTAGCAGTCATTATTTTTAGAAATAAATAGGTATGCTAATTATTGGCAGAAGGGACAAGGAAATAACTCAAATTTGTCATTAACATTTTTTATAAAATTCAGGTTATTTTCTTTCCCTTCTTAAGAACAACAGCTGATACTGAACATTGAGGGGTAGTTCATTTGACCATCTAGAAATCTGTTTATGTATTCTGTGAGATTACATTTGAATAAGCCCTTTCTGTGACTGTGTTAATTGTAGGAGACCACATAGGCAGACAGTAGTGAGGTTCTGGCACTGACAGGATAAGAGAGCATTAATACAGCACAAGTCTGACAGTCCCCACCTCCATCCAGGGTTATTTTCCCAGGCAAAAAAAGAAGCTCTACTTTGCACAGTAAACAAGTTTTCATTATTTCTTTCAAAGCTATTTTAGTTAAAATGCAGCCATTAACTAAGCATTTTAGTTAGGCCATGAAACTCAGGCAATCAAAAGTGACAACCTGCAAAAGACAGGAAATCACAATTCTTCCTCAAAACATTTTTCTTCTTTCTTCTGTCTACAAGATATCCTCTGGTATAAAAATCATTCTTTGCCATTAGAAACTTCACAGTATTTCTACACTTGCATTATGTACGATTAGTATGTTTCTTTAGTCAGCAAAAAAATCTTCAGAATTAACACTTGATAAACAAATTTATTCCATTTCTGCATAGAAAAATCCTTTATAGCCAGGCCCCAGAAAAGCAGGTAAAGAACACTGAAAACCATTGGGTTTCAACAAACAAGCGGGTGGCACTTTTTTGGGGTTGTTTTGAGGGCACTGTGTTTGGTTTTGTAGCAAACTCATTTCCATCTGTTTTGACACAGTCCCTTTTTTCCTTCTGTCCCAGATATAAACGAGTGCGAGACTACTAACGAATGCAGAGAGGATGAAATTTGCTGGAATTACCATGGAGGATTTCGTTGTTACCCAAGAAATCCTTGTCAAGAGCCCTATGTCCTTACATCTGAGAAGTAAGAGAAAAATTGGTCTTCTGGTTTTTTTTAGGATCATGCCCAAGAAGAAACATGATCAAATATAATAAAAAGCAAGTGCCATTTGTTTGCAACTGTCACAGTTTTATCCGTTTTTGTTTTTCAGCCGCTGTGTCTGCCCCGTTTCAAATGCCATTTGCCGAGAGCTGCCTTACTCTGTTGTGTACAAATACATGAGCATCCGTTCAGACAGAACAGTGCCCTCTGATATCTTCCAGATCCAGGCAACCACTATTTATCCTAATACTATTAACACATTCCGGATCAAATCTGGAAACGAAAATGGAGAGTTTTACCTGAGAGTGAGTATTGGTGGGAGTTGGACCCTGAGCGGGCTATAAAGACCACTGGTGCTACTGCGGTGTTATAGTGCCTTGCCATTTCAAAAAATCCATCAAATATTCCCTTGAGAGTATCACAGCATCCCAAAGTTTACCATCCTTTTAGTACTTCCTTATTAAGTGCACTCGGTTTCCAAGTTTTAAAAAGCCTTTTACTTCTCTGCCTGAAAAGTGAGAATCAAACTTTCTTTCAAATGAATACAACACTAGTAGCGATCATAAATATTTAGCAATCCAGCAACACCCATGTCAGATACAAATGAGATACCTCTGTGCTTTTCACACTCTGTACCAACACCCCATATATGTGCATTTAAGAGAGGATTATAGAAAGATTCCTCATATAATGACTTCTATTAAATCTCATTTTTGTGAAAAAGTAACAAGTCATAGCTTGGGATGGGGCACTGATTTCTAGAGTGCTAAGTTCAGGCCAACTTGCAAAGGTTTTGTGTTGAGACATACTTAAATCTTTATTCTCCCAAAGTGCTGCAACTATTTCAGAAAACCACAGAAGTTCAAATGACTTACAATAGCAGTATTTCCTGTTGGTATCATGCATTCAAGTAGATACACATGAATGAAAGTGTCTATAACATCTGCTTTTTAAGATTATTTTTTGAGGAAATCCAATTTTCTTGGACACGTGCAATATTTACAAATTCCTGGGAAATTCTTTTTGCTTCATATGTGTCTTTACACTCAGTAAAATAGAATTAGCACAAAAAAATTTAAATCAGAAATATATTAATTGGGTTTCATTTTAGCTTATTTTCTTAAAATCTGAAGATTAGGGAGTTCTGATAACACATCCAAGCAATGTACCAAGAATCTGTTATTGCCTATTTACACCATGTTTCCCCAAGATGGGAAAAAGGAACTACTAATCTGTATCTCACTTGTTCGGTGCTTTTCCCTGGAATTATCACACATCAAAACCCCATATCTACCCCCAAAATACAAAGTTGTTTGCTTGAAAAATGAACAAGATCACGTTTGGGTTAGACCCCAATCTAGCCTTCAGACTTTCTTTAGACTAACAGTTCCAACCTTCTGTTGCCACCCAACAAGGAATCACAGGCCTTAAATAAGGAAGTGTGTGTTTATTCCTGCCAAGGGACTGTGATAAACAAACGCTTACTAAAACAATAGGAATTACTTCTAAGTAAAAGTCTGAGCTGGGTCTCAATCAGCAGATGGCTTGGATTCATCTGTATACCCTACTCATTTGACACCGTGAGAAAATATTTGTAGTAGGTGAAGGGAGAGATGGAGTTTATGCTTTTATTATCATCTGTAAATTACGAAGCTGTTTAACAGACTAGCAGCATGCCACAGACAAGGGCTGTCAACATTCCCCAGCAGCACTGGGAGAAGTGCTTCGGAGCAGTACAAGATGGGACAGCAATATAGGCATACCAGTTGCAAAAATTCCTAGTGTTTACAAGGGGAGCATGACTTCTTCTGGACTATGAGCCATGAAATTAGACTTGGACTTTCCCTCCACTGAGCAAGCTATATCACTGTTAAAGACATTAGGTCTCCCTTGTTTTACCTGTTCTCCATATATTTTAAAAGCTGATAGATGGGGATAAAAAACAAAGACCATCCTGGGATAGATTACCACTTTTCACATCCTTCAGAAAAGTCAGCATAACCAGGAACAGATTCTGCAGTGCAGTTTATTCCTCTGAGCCCTAGTCAGGTAAAGTTTTCCCTGCAGCAAAGCCAGGTGTGAGATTAGTCACAGCCACTTTAAAAAGTTAAAAGAATACTTGCATTGTGTATCTCTGTGCTGAGAGAGCATTTTTACAGCATAGTAACGCACAAGCACTTGATGCAACCAGGGAATCGTTTTAGATTTGACTGTGTTAAACTTTGTTGTTGTTATTCTTTCAGCAAACAAGTGCCGTAAGTGCAATGCTTGTACTGGTGAAATCCCTATCAGGACCAAGAGAACACATTGTGGATCTGGAGATGCTAACAGTCAACAGTTTGAATTATCGTACAAGCTCGGTGTTAAGATTAACAATAATAGTGGGACCTTACGCATTTTAGTGGTTTTCAATAACCCTTCACTGGCACTTAAAGCAGCCAAAGAATATTATCTTAAAGAAAGCACTTACTATTTTATTTATAGATTTTGCTCTCTTTTTTAAAAAAATGTGTTTAGTAAGTTGATATCTTTAATCCACACATTACACCTGTAATTCAAAATTAGTAGATGTGTTCCATAGTATAACATGGGCATTGTCACTTTCTGTATAAAGATTTAAATCTTTTTTATTACCTTTCTTGGACTAGATACATACTACGCTTTCGTATGAGAACTGTATGTTCATACTATCATGTAAAACTTCACACACCCTTCCTAGCCAAATAGGTCATGCAATTAAAATGTGATCTTCTATGTCATTTTTATTTTAAATTCTAATGCAGCTACACTGACAATCTCAAAAAGAAAAAAATTATATAGTATGAATGATACACAAAGTAACGGTTATCTGATAAGCTAAAATATATTCTTTTTAACTACTTTGTAACAAAAGATAACAGTCAATAAAAATCTATTTCTGTAGACATTTATGTGCTATCAGTTGGTTTTTCTAATCTGGGTTGGAGGTAAAGTTGCATTGTGAGAAATGTTTTGCATTGGGTTTTTATATGCAGATTGAGTTAACCATACCACGGAATAACATTCTGCTCTCTCCAAGAAAAATAAACCATAGGAAGAAAATTTCTCCAACAATGAAAGAAACTCCAAATGGAAAAATCACCAGGCAGGGCACACGTGTCTGTGTTTTCTCCCGAGAACACTGTTGGTCATTACTGGTTAGAGGGATACAGCATTTTCAGACAGAAGTTAACATGCTGCATTCCAGAAATACTATGTTGTATACTAAGAATTGAGTGCATTTCCTTATTAAGTTATATCATTTTCAGGCACTCTGTCCTATCCCTGCTCTTACAACTCAGATGTATCATGTACAGTGTTCATAAAATTTATTTCTAATTCAAGAACTAATAACATCTTTTGTAATATGTAAAATCTTGTTTCTTGTTTAAAATGTAGTAGTTAATCCTTTGATGTACAAAATTTTTAATAAAGATCTCTTACCATATTGTATTTAGTCTTTTTTGAGGTAGTTTCTTAGCCACATTAGAGGGCTGCGTTGTCAGCTACTGCAAGAGTCAGCAAAGCTCCGTCAAGTTCTCCAGAACCAGAATGACCCAGATCTCAGTCCATACAGTATTAGCTCATGGAAAACTAAAAATACCATTCCCTTGTAGAAGGACAAAGGTATTGCCTACTGCACTTCAAATTGCTTACATTTAAAGAAAACACAAAACAAAAACATACCAACACACACTCATTGCTAGTTAGTTGCTGATTTACAAGAAGGAGCTTCTTTTCTACTGAAAATTCATTTTCTACAGAAAATATTTGTGAATAGTGCAGACATTATACACAAAAACCCCCTCTTGGGGCACAGACCCACAGATTCATATTTGTTATATCAATCACCCTCAGTGATTACTTTCAGGGGATGTGCCCAAAGAAGCAACAAGCATGGCTGGAGAACTTGGCATCCAGAGGTCCTGCATGGCAAGACAGCAAAAACTGGCTCCAGAATATGACTTAGAACAGGCCACAACCACACTGGTTTAGGGTGACACATCCCCCACGCTCAGACAAATTGCAGAGCAGGACCCCATTATCCAATGATCGTTCCTTCAGGCAGTCATTTGTGGCTTTAAACAAATACTTCGACTGCCAAAAGGGTCAGAGCACATGGTTGTGGCATTGGCCAAAAAACAGTGTTTGCGCTGGGTTGCATTTCCTTTGCCTGGGGCCCCAGAGCTGTGGGGTGAGACCCTTCATACCCCTCTGCAGAGAGGAGCTCACCAACACAAACCCAGTTGCTTTGTAGAGGGATTTAATTGGCGTTTTCCATGGTGCAAACTCTCTGATACAGAGAGTTTGACTTGTAGGAAGCTCCTTCCTCTCCCCAGAGGGATTCCTCCCCATTCATCGTAGCTACAAATCTCAGTTTGAAAGGCAGCTCCTCATCCCACACATGTACAGAGCAAAACTCCTCTGACCTCCTCCTCTCTGCAATTCTTGTGGCCAGCAGCACATGCTCACCTCCATGCTTAGCACGTCAACCAACATTTTCTATGTAGTCTGTCCTCTCAAATGAGCTGCACTGGCCCTCAAGCATCCCCCTCTACCCCCAGCATCAGCACTGTTCTTTTACACAGTTTTTTAACTTCTCAGATTGTGTAATTCAGCATTGCCCATTCCAAGAAACAAATCTGTTTTGTTGTTGTTTCTAGGTTTAAAATGGGCAGTTTTCTCTTAATAGGTGCCCAGAGGAGGTTGAAGTGGCTTTGCCTCCTTCAGTCCTGGGAGTTGCAGGGCACCAGGCTGGTCACTGCAGTGAATTAAGCAGCCACAAATAATCCCCAACATCCCCAAGATGCCAGGCTCTGCCCCAAGGATTTACTCTACCCTCACACTCTGCCAATATTTACATCAGTTTTGTCACCAGCACTTTTAAATCTTCCTTTTAAATCTCAGCTTATCTGACAGTGACCTGTGATCAATTTGATCATTATATAGAGAGAAAAATAACATTTGTATACTTATCAAATGGCATGAACAGCAGAGGCGGCTGGAGCTCATGTACGTGCCCAAGCCATATTCAGCCCACTCGTTCCTCCACATCTCATCATGCTCATAGACTTGGCTTAACCCATTTTCTTTTCGCACAAACTGTCCTGCCAACTATCCCACTCCCCATCTGTTTGCAATATATAAGACCACTTACAGCCCAAACTATCCAAGTCAGAGGGTATCACACAGCTCAGGAGAGCAGATCCAGCCACTTGCCATTACATTGCTATGCATTGGTTGAGATCTAAACACAGCCACTGGGTGTGGGCACCGCTCTCCATGCACAACATTAATCGTGGTGCTTTTATGGAAGCGGGGAGCTGAAATAACAGCAGCCCCTCCAAACCAAAACACAAGCAAGCGAGCAGAGCAAGCCAGGGACTACAACAGGGCTATGCAGAAATTGGAAGGGGGCAGTTGGTATTGTTTTGGATAGGGGTGCGGTACGTGATCAAGCGTGAGAGTGTCCGAAAGAAGCCCATAATCAAAATGAAAAGATGGTTCAGAGCCTGAACAGGGAGAACTTTTGTACACTGCACTGTGCCAGAAAACCTGCATATTGTTAGGAGGGAAACCTGCAGGTTCATCCGATTCTCCAAGAAAGCAGGACTTTGTATGTTCCTTGCAAAGGATACAGAGCTGCAGCAAACACAAGAGTTTGAATAGCTATGTGGGTTAAAAGGCACACTGAAATCCCAAGAAATTATATGAGAGCAAAGTGTTTGCTCAGCCTTCGCTATATCCTACCAGCAAGATCATTATCAATAACACACTCCAGGAAAGATTCTCATATAAATCTCTGTCACTGTTGGAGAAGAATCTAAATCAGGGTCACATGCAAATTTTAATATTTTCTCAGAAATAGAAAACAGGGAGAAAAAAGTAAAAAAAAAACCACAGGACTTTGAGTAAACAGAACTTAAGGAAATAGAAATGCAAGTTCATTCACTTCCCCAAGACCACCTGAACATAGTGCAGTGGGATTATTTTGTTTGGAAGGCTCACAAATGCAAGTTTATTGTTGAATCCCGTTTCCATGACTGCAAAGAGTTGCTTATGTTTTGAATGATCATCCATGTTTCTAACTTTATAACTCTCCTATTAAAATATAGAACAGCTGCTGCCCCAGTCAGCTGTTCGGCATATGGAGCCCACCAGGGACAAAGCCCACTGTTAACACGGAGAATTATTTTTAACGCCCTCACATTTCTAAACCTCACCATCATCTCAGCAAAATGGCACGTTTCCACACTTCCCAGCTGGGGGAACACCTGTGTAATGCAAAACCAAACTGTGCTGCATCTGGTACAAAAACCAATTTATTTCATCTGGCCAGCAGAAAAAGTTATCAGCCCCAGCGAACAGAAACAGGGCAAAAAGTTAACTGTGTTTTATATCTGGGGAAAAGCAGATGTCTAGTTAAGATGTTTATACTGCAAACATTTCTGTATATATTAGGAGGAAAGAGAGCTGTTTAATAAAACAGAGTTGGCTTACAGTTGCCAAAGCAAATTTGAAGGACAATACAACAGCTTTTGTCATTTTTGCATGGGAAAAAATAGTCTGATTTTATATTGATATAGATTATGTACATTGAACAAGTCTTTTTTCTTGAAGGTATCTCAAAGTTAACTCTTTTTAAAGCCTCCCGTTTACTGTGTATATTTGCTCAGCAGAAAAAGCTGCAAACATTGTGTCACAACAATATGATAAAGTAGTATTAAAGGCTCCTCCCGATTTATTCTCTGGCATCTCAGAAAACACCTTGATACTGGATTAGGGCTGTGTGGCCAAGACACACAGCAATGCTTCCTGCAGATCAAAATACTGGACTTTGGTGAGCTCCAGGTTTTGTTTGCAAACACGATCACACTGCGTCAGTCACATGCTGTTTCTGCTCTCACTTGAGAAATTATTTTACTTTGTGATCCAGAATCCCAACAGTCCCAGAAGGGACATCAGTGCTCTGCATCTCTACTCCCTCCCAGAAACACATCTGGATAATTAATACTTCTTAATTTTAATATTTTTGTAATCTCTAAAAAACCACACAGTATATACATATCCAAACAGGGGAAACATTCCCAATAACATGCTCCAGATCAGACCTTTGAAAGTGAAAGGTGCAGCTCACAGCTAAGCACTTCAGCACCTCCTGCCCTGCAAACACACACTCTGGTGCACATTATTGCATTGCTTTAATGAAACATTCTTCCCCCCCCCCCCCGCCAAAGATAGCCCCTAAAGTCTGCAGTCCTGGTCTACAAAAACTCCCTTTACAAAGGCATGCACCATCCCCATCCATACACCCAAACAAGCATACAGAAAGGCTTTCAAATTTAGCAGTGAGCCAGCTGGGTTGACAAAAGTAACATATTTG